GATGTGTGTGTGTGTGTGTGTGTGTGTGTGTGTGTGTGTGTGTGTGTGTGTGTGTGTGTGTGTGTCAAGTAAGAGAAAAAATATATTACCGACGATGGATATAATTGCTGTAAATTAGGTATTACAGGCAAAGGAAACAACATCTTCAAATATCTTATATTTTGCAACGGAAAAATGTACCATACTGTGCGAAAGTGCTCATCTTCAAATGGTTGTTCAAGCCACACTGGCTTCTCAGTTTCTTTGTTTGGTACTTCAGAAAAGAGATTTACTATCATGTTTTCGAGTTCATCTAAACTTTCTAAACATAAAATTTATTTGTTACTATAATATAATCTAAATATTAGAAATATGTGAAAGAAATTATAATCTATTCATGACAAAAAGATTAATTTTACTTAAAAATCAAAACAAGGATATACATTCTTATTATCTTGTATGACTTGAGATATTTAATTTTGTTTTTTAAATAAGCCTATTCCTTCTTTTTTATTCAATAAACATCAAAATTTTTTACATCTGTTTTAAAAGCAAAATTTTCACAATTGTCATAAGTATTTTTACATATTTTCTTATTTACGTAAAATTTTTCTTTCTTAAAATGGGATGTGTAGATGTGTATAGATGTTAAATAATTTAAAAAGTAAAAAATGTAACTTATAAATTTATAAAGAGATGTTCCATTGTTCAATTCTTATATACCAGAAGCTTAAATATCTTTACGTAAAAAATTATAAAGAAATATTCTATTCATAAACAGATTTTTGTATATCATCATCGTACCTTTTCCGAGAACACACAATGTCATAAGATTGGCAGAATAATATTTGCCATAAAACTCAAGTAATCTATCTCGAACATTAATGCCCTTTTGATTCGGTATTATATCTAATGTTTCTCTATTTCCTACGTTGAATTTTGAAAACGGATGATTGGAGCGTGCAGACGATCTGTTGAATTGTTCAAGTCTCGAACCATCATTTGTCATGTTCACCTCATATTCTAAATTTATGACATTCACCTCGCATTTGATTGAGTTTTCCGTGAAAAGAGGTGCTAAGAAAAACTGTGCAAAGCGATCCAATGCACCTTCCAACTTCTTTGAGCTTACATCGAAGTAATAACTGGTGTGATCTGCGCCTGTTTCACCATTGCGCTCGCCGCTGTTTTGCGACAAGTACATTCTTAAATTATTCTCTTGAGGATATTTCTTCGTTCCCAAGAATAACATATGTTCGCAGAAATGCGCTAACCCAGGCAGATCATCCGGATCACACATATAACCTGTAACATATTTTATTTCTAATTAATTAATCATCAAATTGGTAATTTAATAATCACTGATAAAAATATATTAATTCTTAGTTAATATCCTTAATATAGAATAGAATCTATCTCGGATAAAAAATAAATAATATAACATAGAAAACGTAAGATTTCAAAATTTGTAGAAAAAAGTAAAT